AGAGTAGCATTTATGTTGGCAGAGCAGAGTAAGACTGGCCAGGAGGGATTATTTTGATGCAGTTGGCAAGCTTAAACATTTGCAATATGTGTGAATAAAAAATCCCTGTAAAGTTTCCTAAAAAGGGTATATAGCAGTGTGCCGAGGGTTTATCCAAAATTCACACTCGTGTCACAAGGACAAAAAGTGAACGGAAATCTAAAAACTAAACTAAATCTAAAGCTGTTACTAGAGCAGGATTGTTGGAATCCCTCCATTACTTGAAGGGATAAGCTTCAGGTTCTAATAGAGCATGAATATGAGCATGAATTCAACCCAAAATCAATTGATGATGGTTTGAGAAAATGGCCAAAAAATGCAGCCATTTGTGTATATGATATTTACCAACAATACACTTCTTGGCATCTGAGCTGCAGATGGCACAGAAGAGCCAAACATGTTGATTTTCTTATGTGCCTGCCCCCTCCCTATAAACAGCATGGAAACATGGAGTTAGGAAAAGATCACCAAGTGTTTTCAGGGAGAATTAGGTATTGCTGGTGATTGTTGAAAAAGTCTATATTTATGAAGCGGCCGCCCCAAGTTTAGCTAGGGGGAGCTGGACAGGTTTTTAGTCAGAGGCTGAGTAGCAGCATGAGATGAATCAGCCAGGTTATTTTAGCTCAGGGCTGAGGGCTCTGCTTGTCAGTTCCCTAATACCTCCTCCCCCCCCGCTTTCGAAGCTTGGGAAGTTTCTAGAAGGCAGTGGGTGGGGGTGAGGAGGGGATGATCGGCATACTTAAGGGATCTTGACCAGTCCCCAAGCAGGAGGCTTGGTATGGGCTCAGAACAGCCCTAAATATGAGAGAGCCTGATCATTAGGAGAAACTGTGTTGGGTGGAAGATGAAGTGAAGCCTGGAGTGCGGAGACTGGGAGGGGGCCAAAGAGAGAGCCCTAACTGCAGGCAGAAGCTGGAAAGGAGGATCTCTCAGCCTCACTGTCCCCTGAGAGAGGACCACCTGTGGAGTAGAGAAGGAGCCAGCCTAGCATAAGGCCTGAAGACAGCCCCAACCCATCAAGCTCACAGGAGAGGACTGAGTGAGTAATCCTACACCCCCTGGGCCAAGTAAGGGGAGAGCTGCTGACAAATTCCTATTACCTACTGGGCAAAATTGACAAGAATAGATACAAAATAGACAGTTGGCTGTGGCTAAATACAATACATTGGTGGCTCTTTCAGTAAAAAAAACCCTTTGTATTGTTGATTTTTTTAAAATTAAAAGCTGGTTGGTATCTGTTTATAATATTAAATTAAATAATATTTTTTTATAAATTAAAAATTTTATTATTAATAAATATAATTATTTTTTATTATATTTAAAAAATTTAATCCTGTTCAAAACATGGCTGAGTGGTTAAATACTGTGCATGTCATCATTATAACATTTTGAGGGATTTTCAGTTAAATAAGTGTGCTTTGATGGTGATTTCTTGATTAAAAGCTGGCTGGTGTGGGTCCTGGTCAAAATGGGAATAGTACCACAGTGAAATAAATACACTGTTATTAATGTTATTTTTTTCAAAACATGTTGGTGTGTGTTCTGTTAAAATTGCAGTCTAATAACGGTGCTTAAAAACTGTGCATGGAGTCAGTACAATATTTCTGGCTTTTGGCTTTGTTTTTGTGTGAAATAAAACACACTCCTATTTCTTGATTATAAATCTGGCTGCTGTCTTCTGAAAAATAGTGACCTACTAAAGCACTGTTATAATATGCTCTAATTTTGAATCCTTGATTATTTTAATTTCCCTGTTTAACTGTGGCCTACTAAAGTCAGTTTTATAATGTGCATCAGGTCTGTGTGATATTTTTCTGTGAAATAGTACACATCTTTCTGTATGTTAAAGTGTAACTAAACTCATCAATCTAACCATCTTCCAAAACAGTTACATTCAAGGTTGGCTGGAATGATCACTTTTACAGTTGCTCGTGCTCTCAAATGAAATACCAACCCATCAAATAGCTGGTGTCATACCTGATGACATGTGCAGCTCCATGGGAACTGTAAATCAAACAGAGTCTAACATGGCAGCTTCCTTAGCTATAATGAATATTATAATATTCCTTGCTTCCACCAGCCTACATACCACTCTCCCATCATTACATCATGCCCTTGAGGAATTTAGCCACCTGTTGAGATATAAGATTAACTCTTCCAAGACAAGTTTTCCTCATTCACCATGCACAACTCTGGTCTGCAAACTTATTATCATTATCACTGGTGCCAACATTTGATTAAATATCTGGGCAGCAGTAATACCCCTATATACTCAGCTTAATTCAAAGCAAATTTTCCTCCTCTTATTCAAGATATTCACCAACTTTCAAAGCAATGGAAAAGCTACAATCCTATCTCTACTTGGTGTATTACAGCTCTTAAAACTTTCAAAATTTTTATATCTTTTTAAGACTCTCTCTATCCCAGTACCCATGACACAGTTACACAATTTACAAAGGGCCCTCACTAATTTATTTGGCACTATAAGGCCCCATGTACACAGGACACTTCTGAACGATGGAAACTGACTGCTGGAAAATGTAGGTTAAAAAACATCTGTTTAGCCGCGTTGCATAACGTGTTTATGTGTTTTTTTGCGTTTAGAAGCGTTTTTTAAAGATAAGCACAGGAGAACCTCCCAAATGCCCAGAATGCACTGAAAAGTGGTAAATTATTAACTATTCCAGACTGTTTCAGAGAAATACAGAGAGTAGAAGCAGAGACAGCAGTATGTTTTAAAATTAGCTTCAGTGTGAATGGTCATTAACATATCTTTTGTTTCCAAGGGTGGGAGAGGTCTGAGGTGTGAATTGGTCATTACAATGTGTGACAAGCTTGGTAGGAACATCCTATTTTCAGTGTTTTGTTCATCTGAGTACCTTGAAAATGCTTTATATGCATTTTTCATGATGAAAAAAGGCTCTGGACAGCATCGGGACCAGAAGAGTTAAAAAAAATTTAAGACGCAAACGCTTATAAATGCGATTTGCCGCTTTTACAAGGATTTACTAGCGTTTTGTGTTTGAAATGGTGATAAAATCGACTGCTGAACTCAAGTTTTCCGTGTTGAAAAAAAGAACTGTAAACTCAAATGCCTGTACATGACTGTAATCGAAGATGTGTACGTGGACACATAGGAAAACATTAGGGTGAGTTCAGGGGCTGCTGAAAAAAATGCTGAACAGCTTTTATATGTAAGTTATTATTATTATTTTGTATTTCTACCATTGGACCCCATTCACTGCTTTCTTGGCCTACCTTATCTGGGTCTATCCAAATACCCCCCCAAAAAATGACTACTCATATCCTGACAGACAGCAGACAACTAATCCCGCTTCATTGGAGACCCATTTCAAATCTAGAACAGCAGACATATGATGATTAGAATATCTCATGGCAAAACTGAGGCATCAACTTGCTTACTTTAATCAAACATGGCATTATTGGGATGGTTCACCCTGTGGTCTACCTAATCTACATCCCATTTCCTCTGACAGTATTTTCACCATGCTCAAATTAAATTCTAAACAGTTTTTCTTATTCTGATGTGTATTAATTGTTTTGTTTACTTATATTTCACCTATTTTGAGAACAATGTTTTTCTCTATTCTAATTCTATCTCTAATTACTTTCTTCATACAATTGTTGATCCAGCAATTAGCTGTGATCATGAGCTATACATAAATGTAACTTTGGGTTGCACATTGATAATAGGAGGCTTAATGGGGTTGATTTACTACAACTGGAGAATGCAAAATCTGGTGCAGCTCTGCATAGAAACCAATCAGCTTCTAGGTTTTATTCTCAAGGCTTAACTGAACAAGTTGAAGTTAGAAGCTGATTGGCTACCATGTGCAGCTGCACCAGATTTTGCAATCTCCAGTTTTAGTAAATCAACCCCAGTGTATTAGTGATCTTGATAGACAATCATTTTCTTCAATGTGTTTCCTAAAGTTATTTACTTTGTATTACACATTTTTACACTGTGTGCTATTTTTTATGTATTTAACATTTAAAAAAAAAAAAAAAAAAAAGGATAGTACAATTTAGTTCCACTTTAAGAAAGAATACACATAACTCTTGTATTTACACAATATTTGTTTAGCTTGGAAGTTCAGTTTTAACCACTTGCCCCCCAGAGGACTTACCCCCCTTCCTGACAGGCCATTTTTTGCAATACGGAACTGAGTTAGTTTAACTGACAATTGCGAGGTCATGCAACGCTGCACCCAAATAAATGTATGGCTTTTTTTCCCAACAAATAGAGCTTTCTTTTTGTGGTATTTGATCGCCTCTGCGTTTTTTATTTTTTGCGCTCTAAATAAAAAACAAATTTTGAGAAAAAAAAACTATTTTTGACTTTTTGCTATTAATCATGTCCAGTAGAAAAAATGGAAAAATCAAATTTCATCATAAATTTAGGCCAAAATGTATTCTGCTACATGTCTTTGCCAAAGAAAATCGCAATATGTGTAAATTAATTGGTTTATGTGAAAGTTATAGCGTCTTTAATGGCGGTATATATACTGGAATTTGTTTTATCTTTTTATACTAGTAATGGCAACGATCAGCGACTTATAGCAGGACTTCGGGAATGCATTCTGACACTGGGGGGAACTGACTAACTGTCACTGACATACCCAGTGACACCAATACAGTGATCAATGCTAATAAAAACACTGTACTAATGACACTGGTCTGGAAGGGGTTAACATCTAGGGTGATCAATGGGTTAACTCTGTACTGTGTGCAGGGGCGGACTGACCATTTGGAAACTCGGGCACTGCCCGAGGGCCCGGGGTCAGTAGGGGGCCCCATGATATGCCCCTGGTACTTTTTTCATAGGCTTTTTTGAGTTTGGGCAAGGACACAGGGGCCCCATGATCCCCTATTGCCCGGGGGCCCCATAAGTTGTCAGTCCGCCCCTGACTGTGTGTGTTTCACATTATGTGCTGTTTTACTGTGTAAGCATGCTGATTTGTATTGCTCTGTTATGCAGAGCAATACAAATCAGCATGCTGGTGCTGACAGGGAAGAGATCTGTATTGTTTACATACAGACCTCTCCTCTGTCAGTGTTCCCTGGCTATTGCCAGGTGCTGGCGGGGAACCTCCAGCCTGGACCCGGTGCTTGACAGCCACCAATGGCAGCGCAGGTAGAGTGGTGAGCGTGCCCCCCACCTAGAAATGCAAAGTCACGTATATATACGTGATTTTGCGCAGCCCTGCCACCCTGTAGCAGTAGTTCTGTTATAGGGTGGTTGGGAAGTGGTTTAAAAGAGAAAAAAATGTAAAACATAGTTAGCAAAGAGAGATAGTGTAAAGTGAATGAGCCAGATCAAAAAAAACCCAGCCAGCATGGATATTGTCAGGGACCTTTAAAGTGAGTTTAGAGGTTCACTTCTTTTGGAGGGTGTACTGTGGGTCTCCCAAACTTATACCCTAAATGGAATTCTTATCAACTAAGGCAAATCTTCAAATAAACTGCAACGTGAAATGAGAGCTAATAAAAATACTGCATACATCTAGATTTCATCCAAAGAATATAACTGGAAGTGACAAGTGTGCTTCAAAGTCCAGATATGACACATGCGGTGTCATTTCTGTGCAGGATGTACAATATCCAAGATACAATAATCCTATATATTGTAATTGTATGTCTCACTAACATGTTATTAGCATCTGCCTGCTCACTTTTATTTATAGCAAAAATTAGATTTTGTATTAATGTAATTGTGTATTTTAGTAGTTGTTTTGCAAAACTGTGAGCCTGTATCTCAGGTTAATTTAAAGTGGAACTTTAGTCAAAAAATGAAGTCCTGCTAGATCACTTCAGGCTGACCCATTTTGCAGTATAGCTATGTGAAACATTAAAAATAAATGCTTATACTGTTTAAAATCCAGTAGTACACTGTCTCAACCTGCTCTGCACACACTCAGTTCTCTATTGACACTCTAGAGGCTGATCTACTCACAGCCTAAAGATTTACTCTGCTCAGGGGTTCTGGCCTTCAACAAAATGGCAGCCTCTAGCAAGAAGAAGTAGGAGCAATGCTGCAGGCAATTTACAGTACACACTAATCTTGGTAGCATAATTATTAATGTAAAATGTATGCTCCTTGCTGAAAAAACATTATTTTTTTTATCAAGTTGATATGAGTAAAGTTCCACTTTAACTTTTTTTCCCTTCAGAATTTTGTTTCTTTCAACAACGCTGTTTTAAAAATAGTATGCAAACGTACCACAACAAAATTAAAAGCAGATGAAAGTACAGAAGTAGGAGGCTGAAATTCACTAAGACTGAATAATATAATGGCTTCACACTGAGAAACAAGAAAGGAAAGCAGGAATAATGTGTGTCACCTTAATGTGAGGAAACAGCATACCTACATATTGGTGTTATAGAAGTAGGTAGAAGAGGAAACAGAATCAGCAAAAACTTGCTCAGAATTCTGAATAATATTATGTCTCTACACAACAGGAAAAGTTGCTCGCTTTTTAATCGTGAGTTTCTTAAAGCCTAACTCCAGACATTTTTTTTTTACTTTCTAGTTCTGGATAGAGTTTTTTTCTTCAATTCTTGTCCCTGTGATACCAGGACAGTAATAGGGTACAGGCCTGTATTGGGCATAGGGCACACTGGGCATTTGCCCAGTGGGCCGGGGCCGCTGGGCCACATATTCTAAGAAGAGAGGCCTGTTGATGACCGGGCCGCACAGCGGTAGGTAAGCAGCAATCATGGTCTGAACGGGGCTAACAGACCTCTGGCGCCGCTCACCTTCTGCTATACAGCCATTCCTATGGGCCAGTACCAGCAAGCTAAGGGGTGTGGGCGAGAAGGCTCCAGTCAGTTTCACACAGGAAGCACTGTAGCTTCAACGGCAGACTTCCTCCTAACACTGGCTGGCACACAGTGACCACTGCACAGGAAGGTGGGTGCGCTGATCCAGTGTGTGTTACAGCCAATCAGTCCTGCTCTGCAGACGTGGGTGTTGGGGGGGGGGGGGGGTTATGGGTAGATTGAGCTGTCTCTTTGCAATATGGAGCTGTCTCTGCTGGATTGGGCCATCTCTTTGTAGTAGGGAGTTGTCTTTTTGCTCTGTGGAGCTGTCTCTTTTGCTGCATGGGGTTGTCTCTGATGTATTTGGCTGTCTTTTTGCTATATGGGGCTGTCTCTTTGCTATATGGAGCTGTCTCTGCTGGCTTGGACCATCTCTTTGCTATATGTTGCTGTCTCTTTGCTATATGGGGCTATCTCTGTGTTTTATATGGAGCTGTCTCTTTGCTGAATGGGGCTGTCTCTTTGCTATATGGAGCTGTCTCTGCTGGAGTGGATCTTCTCTTTGCTATATGTGGCTGTCTCTTTGCTATATGGAGCTGTCTCTTTGCTATACGGGGCTGGCACTTTGCTATATGAGGCTTTCTCTTTGCTGGATTAGACTGTCTCTTTGCTACATGGAGATGTCTCTTTGCTGGATGGGGCTATCTCTTTGCTATATGGAGCTGTCTTTTTGCTGGATGGGTCTGTCTCTTTGCTTTTTGGGGCTGTCTCTTTGTTATATGGAGCTGTCTTTGCTTGAGTGAGCCATCTCTTTGCTGGATGGTGCTGTCTCTTTGCTATATGGAACCGTTTCTTTGCTATATGGAGCTGTCTCTTTGCTATATGGAGCTGTCTGTTTGCTGAATGGGGTTGTCTCCTTGCTAGATTGGGCCATCTCTTTGCTAAATGGGGCCATCTCTTTGCTATATGGGGCTGTCTCTTTGCTGAATGGTACTGTCTCTTTGCTGGATGGGGCTGTCTTTGCTGGGCTGTCACTTTGCTATATGAGACTGTCTCTCTGCTATATGAGGCTGTCTCTTTGCTGGATTGGGCCATCTCTTTGCTATATATGGGGATTTCTCTTTTCTGGATGGGACTGTCTCTTGGCTAGATTGGGCCATCTCTCTGCTATATGGAGCTTTCTCTTTGCTATATGAGGCTTTCTCTTTGCTGAATGGGGCTGTCTCTTTGCTATATGGAGATATCTCTCCTATATTGCTGTATGAGGCTTTCTATTTGCTGAATGGGACTTTCTCTGCTGGATTGGGCTGTCTCTTTGCTATATGGAGCTGTCTCTTTGCTGAATTGGGCTGTCACTTTGCTATATGAGGCTTTCTCTTTGCTAGATTGGGTTGTTTCTTTGCTACATGGTGATGTCTCTTTGCTACATGGATATGTCTCTTTTCTACATGGAGATGTCTCTTTGTTGGATAGGGCTGTCTCTTTGCTATATGAGGCTGTCTCTTTGCTATATGAGGCTGTCACTTTGCTAGATTGGGCTGTCTGTTTGCTATATGGAGATGTCTCTTTACTGCATTGGGTGTCTCCTTGCTATATGGAGCTGTCTATTTGCTGAATGGGGCCCTCTCTTTGCTATATAGAGCTGTCTCTTTGCTGGATTGGGCCATCTCTTTGCTATATGGAGCTGTGTCTTTGCTGAATGGAGCTGTCTCTACTGGATTGGGCCATCTCTGCTTTTTAGGGCTGTCTCTTTGCTATATGGAGCTGTCTCGTTGTTGAATATGGCTGTCTCTTTGCTTTAAGGGGCTATCCCTTTGCTATTTGGAGTTGTCTCTGCTGGATTGGGCTGTCTGTTTGCTATATGGGGCTGTCTCTTTGCTATTTGATGCTTTCTCTTTGCTGAGATGGGCTGTCTCTTTGCCGGATTGGGATGTCTCTTTGCTGGAGTGGGATGTGTCTTTGCTGGATTTGGATGTCTCTTTGCTATATGAGGTTATCTCTTTCCTGGATTGGGCTGTCTCTCTGCTATATGGAAATGTCTCTTTCCTGCATTGGGATGTCTCTCTTTACTGGTTGGAGCTGTCTCTTTGCTAAATGGAGATTTCTCTTTGCTGGATTAGGCTGTTTCTTTGCTGGATTGGGCTGTCCCTTTGCTGGTTTGGGATGTCTCTTGCTATATGGGGATGTCTCTTTGGTGGATGGGGATTTCATTTTGCTGGATTGGTATGTCTCTTTGCTGGATTGGGCTATTTGCTGAATATATGTGGATGTTTCTTTGTTGGATTGGGCCATTTCTTTGAATATATGGGGAATGTCTGTTTGCTGAATATATGGGGATGTCTATTTGCTGCTCTTTGACCAAAATATTCTGTGATATTATCCAAATCTGCAGCTCCTCCCACCCCCTGCTTTTCTGATAGGATGACATTGTTGTCAGGGAGGGAGACCATGGAGAGAACACATGGGCTGAATCCTGCCTGCGCCCTGCTGAAGGTAGGACTGTGCAGGGGAAAACAGAGAGCAACAGGGGGCACTCTGATTAGAGAGAAAAGGGGGGCATGACTGCAAGGGGGGCATGACTGTGATGAGGGGCTGTGATTCCTAGGGGCACTGTAATGTAAAGGGACACTGTGATATAAAGGGGACTGCACAGTACAGGGGCACTGTAAGCAATACATTGTCCCTTTACAGTGCAGTCCCCCTTTATATCACAGTGCCCCTTTACATTACTTACAGCGCGGAGGACACCCCCCCTGTTCCTTGGAAAAAGTGGCTGCTCAGTCTAAAATGCCTATTTGTATGTCCCAGTGTGGACCTGATAGGATATTCAGTTATCAAAGGATAGGATGGCATAGACTACTCATTCTGCTTAATATGTGTTTTTATTTTTGTCTGTGTCTGTGTTAGAGAGAATTCCCATCACTTCTTTACCTGAAATTTATCCAACAGTTTTAGTATTTGGACTAAGAACAGTCAGTATGGTATCTTACCTTTTGGTATAAGGTACCTGGTGTGGAAGCTTTTAGTATAAGGCTTTTAATTCTGATAACATATGAAAAGAATAAGTTGCCCCTACTTTCCACTAACCTCTAACCCGTTTCTATCAGTCAAACCAAACTAGTACGTTATTGCCTCCCGCTAATTTCACACAAACTGTTTTGGAAACTCATTGTGTATCCATCACTTTGCATTGGACTTCGTTATGTAACTCATAAAGACATTTG